TCCAGCCTGAAGTGTTTTAAAAAGGGGCTGTGAGCATCTGATCTGTGAGGTCACATTCACTCCCTCGTTGTAAGGGAGTATTTTAACCCGAGCTTTGCGCAAGGTATTTGGCAGTTTTGAGCAAACAGACGGTTACTGGAATATCTTTTAGTTGTTATAGAGAGGGTGAGTAGGGGTGGGCTGCTGACACAGCATTGGAACGCTTCCATTTCAGAGGGAGTCAGACATAAACAACCTGCTAATATGAGTCAGGCCATGGCAGAGCCTGTGTCGTCTTAATCACCACCCTTCCATTTAGTAAAAACAACATGATTTAGACAAGAAGATGCCAGTCTAGTGTAACATGTTTTTTTTTGTTTTCAAACTGAATCCTCATGTTAATCAGTATTATTTATTAAAGACACAAAGGGTGTCTCTGTTTAGTTTTTCATTTCCTTTAAGCACCGGTTACTCTGAACATCTGAACTGGAACAAATTGCTCCTTAAAGAATAATTTACCTGATACACATGAAGAAAAGCTTAAGAAAGCAATTTGTCTCCTCCTGTGGAAAACGCAACACTTTTGTCCTGTAAATCGATCAGATTTGACATCTTACGCCTGAATAAAAATGAAATATCTGTAACCTTTCCCTAAGGCAAAGAGGTGATTGTTATCATTTTCTTCAATTGTCTCTTCACTTGTCGAGGACCGATGGTAGTCATTTCAGTTTGAGGAGCCCTTGATTGTCTGCAGTTACTTTAAATGTCTCACCAAATTGACTGTGGTACAGTGACATCCTAAAAATGACTCAATGGCTTGATTAGTTTGTCACCAGACCAGACTGTAAACCGCTTAACCTGCTTATCTTTTTCTCAGTGTGACCAGTACTTTAACCTGTAGTAAACATGTTTAAGATACTAGGCCTAATAGTAGACTGACTTTTGTGCCTAAAGATGCAGTTCAATTTTCTGTTGTTCGGTGACTTTCAAAGGCAAAATCCATACATTTTAGTATGAATCTTCATGATTGGGAAATTTGTATCAGGGTGAAAAAGCTTTCCAACGGGTTCGTGTTCATGGATTTGCCACATGAACCAACCAAAAGCTGCTTGAAAGTGACTTTCTGTGAGCTGTGCTTAATGCATCAACTATTGACAATAAACAGTGGACATTTTTTTGCCCACAAACTTTCACTAATGTGACCTCACCTTAAGACTCAATGATACTGGCTCTTTTTGCCTTGGGAGGTTCCTTTTAACTCAACCTTTTAACCCAACTCTAACTCTAATCTGAGATTCAAACTGCTGAGCCGTTTCCCTTAATGGAGGCTGTTTTCTGGCAATAGGAAATGAAGCGGCAAAAAAGGAGAAAATTGTTCCTAAACTCTGTCTCACCCATGTCAGCACCCTTAAAATATGGCACCAGAGTCAACTAGAGCTTTCAGTGCTGAACAACAACAATTGCCAGATGGAAAAGTTTCACACTAGTTGACAGAAACTGACTCTTGCCTATGTTATATGGGGTGTATGTTTATGTACTGCATAAGTAAACATTTGCTGATGTGAATTCTGTTGATTTCAACATGTCATTATGCTAAATTTATTTAGCTGGCTGATGAAATGTTATTCAAAATGCAAGAATGAAAGTATCAGTCAGAGAGTAAATCGAAACATCAGTGTTTATGAAGTTGTTATTTTTTTTTATTATTTTTAATATATTTCTTTCTGACTCAATTCTAAAATAATAAATCATATATAAATATATATATATATATATATATATATATATATATATATATATATAAATGAGGATCACAAGAAAGCTGAGTCTGTGTGTCAGATTTTTGTCCCTACTCATTAGTGCTGCTGGGGTGATATCATAGTACATAGGCTGTGTCCGAAATCTCCACTCAAACCAGTACTCACTATATAGTAGAGCACTATATAGTGAGCTCTCCAGCATAATAGAAATGCCACTTTCGAACACTACTCGATCGTCTCTCGGCCCCGTTGATTACGTCATTGCTGTCGCCCGTCTGTCTTTTTTACGATCAGCGCAATGCATGATGGTATGTAGGGCTTGGGTTAGTGACCATCGGTTGTACACTACTTTTCAAAATGCATTCTGGGATACATTGAGTGGACTACATAGGGTATAATAATCATCACTACACATACGGACAGCACTACAAAATGGTGAGCTCGCTATAGTCCACTATATAGTGAGTAGTGGGAGATTTCGGACACAGCCATAGATACTGTTTTTTTTTTTTTAAGTCAGCTTAAACATCTTTTATTCCAAAGTATAGAATGTGACCTTATCTGTGTTTTGTTCCCCTCTCAACAATGCAATTTTTACCTTGTACAATTTATAAATCAGGTGCAACTTACGTAAAATACAATATCATAGAGGAAATATACAATTCCACTGACAATGTCTAAAAGTGAATCATTAGTTCTTCCCGGGTGCTTACCTTCTCTCTTTCGCCTGATAATTAAGTGAACTGGTGACCTGGCAGAAAGGTGATATATTTAAAGAGACAGCAGAGTTTTGCGCTGCTTCACCGTGGTCTTGTGTAATAGCATGTTTTCCCTCTCTGAGGGATCTGTTGAGACACGGAACAGCTGACGGCTGCATTTCATCTCCAGTTCCTGGCAACAGTCACTAATCCTAATTATTTTATCCTCCATGCTTATTTATTGAGCCATCTAATTCCTGGAGGATATTAATGATTAAATACATGATGATTTTTTTTTTCTAATTTAGTTTATTAAATGGTTCATTCTAGATGTATCCTGGCACACAGATATTAAACATGAAAAATGTTGATGTAATAAGCCTTTCAGCCATGTCTGGCATTACCAGATCGAATTAACCTGATAATTATCCCACCTGTTAGATTACCGTTCCCCTTCTAAATTTTTCACGTACACACCCAGCAGTAAATACAGGAGATTCTTAATTATTCAACAGTTTTCCAAAATGGCTTCTCTTCTCTGCATGGGGGTGCAAGAATAATTGCTTTCTTTTTAATGAACTAACACTGACAGCTAATTAACAGTATAATGAACACAAGAGAAGTATTTTGAATCTCATTTTTGTTATGAAAGAAATTATTTGTATAACACCCTTGAAAAATCATATTTCAGTCTGCCTTGTACAAGCGGTGCTTTTTAATATAATTTTAAATATTTAACTCCAATGACATGGCAAAGCAAATTAGCGGATGCTAGTCCAAAAGTGTGGCCTCTAACATTTATCGTAGCACTATGCAGGTTCATGCTGTCAAAATGAGGTGACGTGACCTCTGATGTTTCCTGTTCAGTTAACCTATAGAAATGTCTTTGCTACCATGTTCCGTGTGCAATTTGTATTGAGGGTTCATGCGCATTCACATGAGACCTTGGTGATGCAACTAACTCCCATTGCTCTTTTGGGTCCTCTAATTACCGGATACACCTCCCACCAATATAGTGAACATGAAAGGCTGCTGGTAGTCTCTATTCTCTGCCTGATGTCCCTGATTATTACTGTTTGGGTGAACTCTGCAATGAATCATTTAGCAGATAAGAAGAGGAGGTGCTCAGAGATATTATAGTCATGCTTGTAAATATGGTGACGGTTGGTATGATTTTTAAATCTCTGCTCTGCTCAAGAATACAGAAAAAAAACGTAATATTGTGAAATAATTTAACAATTTAAAATAACTTTTCTAATTTTATTCCTATGACTCAAGGCTGAATTTTCAGCATCATTACTCCAGTCTTCAGTGTCATATGATCCTTCAGAAATCATTCCAATATGATGATTTTGGGCATAGGAAACATTATTATCAATGTTGGAAACAGTTGCGCGCAGAATTCTTCTCCGAAAATTTTTTCAAAATTACAGCATTCGTTTGATAAACTGTTTAAAAGTCGGTACTGTCTACTTTATGCATATATGCTGAATAAAAAAATTCATTTCGTTCAAAAACATTCAAAAAATCTTACTGACCCCAAGTTTTTTATGGGTATTATAAACAGTTTCTTAAAAGTAAAAACGGAAATCTAAAAGGAACAACATTGAAAGTACTTCTCTGTCAGCTTTTCCTCAGAGCTTGGATTTGTGTACATGAAAAAGCTGTCGCATTAGATGACAGTGTTTTGGCTGATGCCAGTGCTTCACTGCCCTCCCTGATAAGGGTTCCAGAGGCTTAGTACCTCAGAGACTGATAAGCAGTGGAAAATCTCTGGGCTGAAGCTGCAAGAATGTGAATTTATTCTCTTGGGTAATACAGTGATGATTACTATGGGCACAGCGCCGATCTGGTGCCTGACCCACATGAACATGAGATCAATTCAGGGTCCACAAAAGATTGATCCACAGACAGAAAGTAGTCTGAAAGCAGTCTCTTATGCTCACCAAGGCTGCATTTATTTGATCAAAAACACAGTAAAAATAGAACTATTGTAAAATATTATTCACATTTAAAATGACACCTTTCTTATCTAATATTATAAAATGTAGTTCATTTCAGTGATGCAAAGCTGAATTGTCCAGCAGCCATTATTCCAATCTTCAGTGTCACATTATTCTTTAGAAATTATTCTAATCGTTTATTTGGCGCTCAAGAAACATATTAATATGATCATCATCTATGTTCAAAAGTTGGCCGCTTAAAATTGTTGTGGAAAATGTGACATGTGTTTAAATTCAAAAGAGCAGCATTTATTTGAAATAGACTATTATAACAGTATAAATGACTTTAAATTACATTATTGCAGAGAAAAAGTGCCAAAAAAAATCTTTAACAAGCACAAATTGAGCTGTAATGGTCAGTTTTAAGAATTAAGCATCTACAGTATTTAGAGGACCTGGAATGGCATTGATCAGTGAAAATGTTGGAATTGGAAAAAACACAGTTCTCCACTCCTCCTCTCTTATGATTTATGGATGTGTCAGCCATTTGAAGTGTCACATGCTTCTAATGCTAATCTACTGTTTGTTTTATGCAGTGCTCTGTGTGTGTCTTTCTGCAGGGTCATTGGCGGTCAGTGGGATGATAGTGAGGTGGGTTGGAGTCTGGATTGAAGGAGCATGGTGAAGCACCAACCCTTACAGGTCTATGAGAGACAGCTGTGTTTGTCATGTCTAACCGGAATATACGGCTGCCGCTGGAAACGCTACCAGCGGTCACATGATGACACCACCAAGGTGAGTTACCCTGTCTCTCTAAGCCATCTGCCTGTGACTTGAAGACTTTATTAAAGCTCAAATCCCACAGCTAAAATTAAAGATGTCTCATTTTAGTTCATCGCACACACCTTTTACCCATATGTTTTTTTTCGAACAGTTTTGCTGTGGTGAAGTTTTTTGGATCAGATTTTAACTGGTTTAATCCGGTTCACCCTGCCCCAACAAGCGGCATCATTTCAAAAAAACTAACGTTGGTTTTTCTGATTCTTAGTCATTTCATTCACTACTTAAAGCTCCTGTCCGTAACCTTTTTGGGTTAAAAATTATCCAAAATAGATTTTTGAGCAAGTACATAACCAGCCAGTGTTTAAAACTATCTGCTTGCCTTAGCTCAATTCAAAGTGGTAACCTTGTAATAATGTCTTTAATTCCAGTGGTACTGGTGGATTTCCACGGGAGATTCGAGCATGTCTTTCCGTCATTACGTCCCATCTGTACACATAAAGAAGAGTCTTGGCTAGTATAAGCTATATTGTGTGTGAGGATGTTGGAGGTGGAGATTTATAGACTTTTCTCACAGCACTTGATATAATTAAACTTATCAATTTGACGGCGGATCTAGAAATCACCAGCGACAACTAGAGATTCACCCGCTGTAAAATGCAAAAAGACTCTGGACTGAGAGTTTGGAAAAAGAGACTGGAACCGGCCCATGCGAAAAGGATAAATATTGGAAGGACATTGCATGTAGTCACGCAATGCTGATGTTGCTAACATTAACAATTTGAGATAGTATAAACAAAGTGTAATTTACATGGTTTGACGTGTTACGATAAACAATTGTTAGATTTAATCAGTGTGATTTTCTGCAATGCTTTTTTTAGTTAGTTGGTCAGAGGAAAAAAAATTGGATGTTTCTTACTTGTTTAGATGACATTTTAGGGTGAAAATTCTTATGTTGATCATACTTCCAAACAGTTGAATCTGTGATTGCGAATGCCAGTATCCACACCGCGTGGTGATTGACAGCCGCACAATCTCCTCAAAACATTGTGTTCATCCACGCTGTGCGGTGTCGAGGCACAACTCACGTAAAGTTGATAATTCCCTGAATGACTGCAATTGCAGATTTTGAAAAGAGGAAAAACTGCGGACTGCAGCTTTATCACATAATTGGTTGATTCGTGAATCAGACTACACTTATCGTAACATGTTTGTTGTTGTGTGGTGTCCAGTGGAAAAGTGGAACTCAACTGACTTGGCCATAGGACCCACATTTTCCATGGTCCTTTAGTTGCTACCTTTTTTTTTTTTTTTTAGGAATTTGACTTAAATCCTATTTAATTAGCCTATATAATTATAATAAATTAGCATAAAAAAAGCAAATATATTTCACAAAATTGATTGACACACCCTCTTTTCTTTCATGACTAAATGATCACAGTAATTTCATGACTTATTAATTGACAACATAACTATGATGTTGCATGCTCGTAATTTATTTTTGCACTTTATGAAGTGATATACATCCCGTGCCGCCGCATTTTCACGCCCTATGAGCACAGTATAACGGCTAACAGGACAGGAAAGTTCGTTTTTCTGAGGTTCTTTATTTTGGAAGAAGCTTCGAAAATAAAGTTAAAATAATAATACTGACATATAACCTGACATCTCATCTGACTGCAGATTTTATATCAGCAACACGTTTTTCTCAGGCGCCCTTTTCTTAAACTGCGTCTGACAGAAGAGTCAACAGCGTTCCCACACGTCTTTCAAAAGTCTTAGATAAAAAAATAGAATTATGTTTGTTGTTGTTTCTTTGACTGCAAACTCCTCGAGACTTTCTCTCGCGACCCTCAGAAAACAGCTTAGGCTCATACAGTTTAAGTAACAACATAAACATATAGGCCTACAGATTGTTTTGAAAGTAAATAGGTTAACTAGGATTGGAAATTAATATGGTCACACATGATGAGTCATAGTTTCCAAGAAAACCTTTTTGATAAGATCAAAGTTCACATTAGTCAAGGGTCACTGTGCAGAAATGCATTGGCTGATTGCAAACTCTGTGTTCCCTTGTGTTCTTTATCCGTCACCCAGACTAGTGTGACACGTCCATCTTTGTTTTGTGCATAGACATGGGTGATGTAGTGTCAATATGAGAACATAAGCTTATTAAGGAAGTCTAGGTCATTTAGAGGTCAGTCATTTAAAAAATAGTAGTGAACCAACATTTGTACTGTATAGTATACATGTGAAATAACCAGACTATGAATGAGCCTTATTTATTAAAAAAGAGAGAAAAACAAACGGAGCCTGCCATTAGATTTCATAAGATTTACTGATTTTAATGTATTATGTTCTAGAAATATATTTATTTCAGCAAGCAAATATTAGTCATAGAGGATAAAATCATTTAATTAGGAATATTTTTATTTGATGGTCTTTTGACTGGGGTTTGCTTGCGTCTGCTTCAATAGAGTCAAGTATAAGTAAGTAACGATCGGTCTCTTATGCGTCAAGGCACTTTTTGTCTAGGATACTGCTTCCATGAAGTTAATTAAAGCACATGTGCTAAGCATCAGGGGAATTGTGATGTTATATATGTGTGTTGAAAGAGCTGCCTCCAGACTGCCAACAAATGGTATTATCCTTGTTGTCTAATGCAGTGAGCGTAGCCAAGAGTCCACGAGGTTGCTTTAGTAAAAGAAGACTTTAATCAAAACATTGCAGGTCTGTATACATTTTAGGTTAGTGGAATAGGGACAGCGTCAAGGGAACATGTGGCCTTTCATGTTGTACGTACCCTTTGATTTGCCACAGTAAATGTTTCGCTAATAAACATCCTCTAGTTTTTTTTCCTTTTCCGTGATCCTCTCTAAGGACTTTCAGTAGCTCAAAAACACACGTGTTAGTGGAAAAACTATAACATTTCATGCAAGTTTTTTTGAGCAAGCAAATAAAATATCCCAAACTCCCTGAAGCCGCATTTATTAAATGTTTGCTTTCCTTCAGAGTGAGTTTGCCTTTGAGCATTACTGTTTTCAGTTGTGTACTCGGTAAAGGTCCCTGTGGGAGAAGAGAGTTGGGACACAATTGCTTGTCAGAGAATCGGGCTGTAAGATGAGACGGGAGCAAAAGGAGATGACTTTGTGTTGAAATTCAGTGACACAGATTTCTGACTGTGGTCATGTTGCTGAGAGAAGCAGGAGAGATGGTTGTCAGAGAAACCAAGATAACGTTGGAGTCTTATCAGTACAGATGCATGTCAATAGCGAAAGGAGGAGCATCACAGCATCACAAACTATATTTGTCTTAGGCATCTGTCTGAGAGTAAGTTTGAATATCATTTGCTAACTTCATGCCCTTTTACTGTAAAAAATACAGTAAAATTTACAGTAGAAATATGTATAATTTGTTATTGATTCTTATATCATATACATGACTGATTCATCAAATAATGCTGGACAAGCTCCAATGGATCTGACTTTTAATTTTATTTTTGCCAGGGTTAAAATAAAACGGATGAAAGAATTCCATAGACTTACAATGAAGGACCTGTTTTATATATATATATATATATATATATATATATATATATATTAGGGGTGTAACAATATATCGTGCCACAATATATCGCAATACAAAAATACAACAATACGCATCGTGGATAGTGACAATATGTATCGTGAATACAATAGTTCCCAAAATAAAAATTACTGTGTGAGGAAAAATTCTCAGTTCTACATTAAACTACTATTTATAATGTATAATAATGCAATGGAGGTATATTTGTGGGTCCTGATATTGCTAAATGACTTAACTTGACCAGTAAAAAGTGTCCAACATTATTTTTAAATATATTTAAATATATAAAATATATCTAGTCACAAAAAGTGCAAGAATATTCGTCTAAAATAATTCTATATTTTCAGCTTCAGAATCATGAATATTGTTATTCTGGTGGCACCATTGTCCTTGGGTTACAAGCACAGAGTCCAAGCCTATTCACCCAATGTAATATCAAATCAACGGTACATTTTTTGTTAACCTATTATCATATGTCTTGGAGTATCGCAATAATACCGTATCGTGAGTTCAGTATCGTGATCGAATTGTGACTTGAGGGTATCGTTACACCCCTAATATACTATATATATATATATATACACACACACTACCGTTCACACATTTTAGATATGCAAGATTTTTTAAATGTTTTTAAAAGAAATCTCTTCTGCACACCAAGGCTCTTCTCCATCTATTTTGTTTCGAATAAATGCAGCCTTGGTGAGTAGAAGATACTTATTTTATATATATTAATATACTTTTATAAATAATAGTATATATTATTAGATCATGAAATAATGTTTTCCTTTTATATTTGCTTTTTTGTTTTGGGAAATGGTATTTCAAAATGTCATAGTATTTCCATACAAACACATTGCCTTACCATGGTACCACCACCTTCATGGTAGGGGCATGAGCTTGCTTTTTACCTGTTTTTTTGGGATTCAGAACATGTGCATCACATATCTCCAATCAGTGTGCAGTTGGATCAATGGCTAATACAATAAAATGAGTGAAAGGGGAGCAGATACATTTCCATTTTAATTCCACAAAAGGAGGCTAAGCCATTGCCCTGGTTTCCTGTTGTTCTCTGGCTCTCAGATGCTTGTACTATGCTGTCAGCAGTTTCGGCTCAGTCTTGACTGTCCATAGCGGGAGGCCTGACCCTGTCCACAGAAACAGCCAGTTCAGCTGTCTGTAAGTGAGAGAGAGAGAGAGAGAGAGAGAGAGAGATAGAATGGTGTAAGTTCTCAATGAATGCAGCTAATGTCGTTTCCTGTCACTTTTAAATGAAACAGGATATGATATTTTACCCATACATAACAATTTGACCTTTGTCCCATCTTGCCACTGTCGATCGCTTCAGAGCCCAGCTCTCCCCCTCATGTGACACACTAAACTCTGGGGTGTGAGGTCTGGGATTATACAAAGCGCATCCATATTTCATG